AGACTCTTACTGAGGGCTTATTAATCCAGTCTTTCTAGTTGTGGACTCGGTATATGCTGTTATATGTATGTGTATGCTGGTACTTTGGGGGAACTCACTAAGCTTTGGTTTACAGTTTTTAGTTTATCGTTGCAGGTACTTCAGAGAATCGTGGAAAGGCAAAGACGTGATCGTACATAGCTTCCTGTTTATGTCACTGTATCTTGGGGAAAACTCTGAACTGAAATAATACTTTTGAAACAAGACTATTTTTTGTAAAAAATGATGATGAATGGGTGGTTTTGAAAATTTTAAATTATTGTGATTTTTGAGTGTTACAAGAATCAAAGGGTGTTGACGATTGTCATGTTTTAGGTAATCTAACTTATGATGATCATAACTTTCTTAGAAAAACAGGTGTTTTGGTAAGCTATTAGTTTCATCAAGGAATGGGAGATGAAGAAGACGAGGATAGTCAACATCTTTGTAATATTTGATGGTTTTGGCAAGTCCTAACAAATAGGGAAATAACTACTATATATCAAAATAATAATAATTTAATTACTATATATATATATATATATATATATATATATATATATATATATATATATATATAAATGAAGGAAAACAAAGAAATTGTAAATATAAAATTAATTTACCAGCATAAGGAGACATTCTTACGTAACCCATATGGGCGTAGTAGAGACATTTATCGCATTTGTAAATCCAAAGATCCTTCGTACATGAAAACCCTTCACTACATAATCTGCATCTAGGCCAATGTTTAGCTTGTTGATCTATAAGGAGAAGGAATATGAAATGGTAAGGAGATGGGTAATGATAAAAAACACCATTTGTTACATGTTAGATGGCAATGTTTTCTGGTAGGAAAGCGTAATCACTATGTATGGTGAACCCATCACAAATGGTATACTGATAGAACACCCTTTTATGTTCTTTCCCACAAGCACTACATTGACAATGATTCATGTCAATTAAAAAGTCTATATTTTGATTGACTTATTAATGATATGTAACCTAAAAAAATTTCCGCATGATTACTATCATATATGTGTTTATCCGATCAAATATGAACCTACCTTTGGCTCGATTAATATCTGCATTAATAAACACACAGATGATATATGGTCCATTAGCATGACCTAGACTGCTCTAGAGCGTCAGCCTGGTCTGGCGCGCTCCTGTCAGCCCTGCCTGGTGTTTCCTTGCCAGCCTTGTGTGACGCTCCCTTGCGAGCCGTGCTGGGGACTCTCCTACCTGCCCGGCCTGGCGCTCCCTTGCCTAGCTCCCTCTTACCGGCCTTTCCTGGTGCGCGTCCGCCATCCTTGCCTGGGGTGCGCCCGCCAGCCCCGCACGATGCCTCCGGGCGGCGTTGCCCAACTCCTTTCTAGTTGGGCCTGAATTTGGCTGGCCCAAGGCCTGACTTAATTCCCCTTGACCTAATTGTCCACTATAAATAGAATAGTACCTCCTCCATAGAGGATGACTCTTCCCCAGGTAGCTCAGCCACCACTAGACTTCCCCCATGGATTAGCCGCCACCCGCCACCGTCAGCCACCATACACCACCACCAGCACCAAGATGGTCCTCTCCAGCTAAGGAGAACCATCTCAGACCTACCAACTGATCTAACTTGATCGTCGGAGTCCGCTCCCGGGGCACAGTCCTTGGGGCGGCTCTAACGACCTTGCTCTGTGATGCCCAGATCTCCGCCATAGCTGCCATGAAGATAAGAGAAGACCAGAAGAGTCGTCGGAGTTCCATGTCACATCATCTGGCGCCATCCCGGACTCGAACGAGCAGCCATCATCTCGTTCTTGCCTAGATCTGTTCAGATCTGTTGTGCTTCAGCTCAGGTTTGCTCAGGTCCGTTCATATTTAGCACCATTTGTTTAGATCCGTTTGGCTCTTGCCAATATCTGCTTCACCATTGTTCATATCGCTTGATCTGCTTAGTTTTTTTGTATAGATCTTTTGATCTGCTTACTTTTTCGTTTAGATCTCTTGATCTGTTGTTTTCCTCGCTCAGATCTTCAGATCTGCCTAGTTTTTTGCTCAGATATCATAATATTTTTCATTTTAGTTCACCTGAGCATCCCTCGAGTTTTAAAAGATTTTATCACATCTATTTTTTCGTTTATACTTTGATGGGTTCCTCAAGTCGTAAAGAAAGAATCTTATGAGTTCTTAACCCATTTTCGTTTATATGTTTTATCGAGCAACTTGAGAAGAAGAGAATTTTTTTGGTTTTACCCCATCTCCAGTTGTTTTCCTAAAAGAAATCATCTTTAATTTATGATTTTTTTGGTAAAACTCCTTTAAAGTTGTCTATTTAGTGTCGCCTAGCTTTTTCCAACAGCTGTGTCGCCCAGTTTCTAACGGTTATACATCCATTGTTCCTATTCTCTCTCCCCCTTAAGTAAAGGGATGGGAGAAGAGTAGTGCATCACTACTACTACTGCTACTCATGAAGCATTTCGAAATAACCCCGACATAAAATCAATTACTTTATGGTTTAAAGAAAACATACTAACTCACAAATTTGATCCTGTTGTCTTTTCAGATAATCGCTCCAACGTTGCGATGCCTCAGAGTGCGCCAACAGCAAACTCGCGGAGCAAAGCTCGGTCTGTAAGACATGGGCAGAGGATGTGCAAACCTGTACAAACGGATGAGGTTCGAAAGTGCAAACAACAAGTCGGGATCATATATCCATTTATTCTTACTTCTCGCCTTTTCTAAAAAGGGGGGAGTAAAAGGGTTAGCATAACACTATGTAGAAGTGTTATTTCTATTACGAGTAAAGAGCCGGACTACATAATGAGCTGACGTTATATATGACTGTGCATTCTTGGGAAAAGATTGGTATTATGAATGAAGGACAAGCTTCATAGCCCAGCACCAAACACCAACCATTTTGCCTGACTATCCGCTGCCGTGGTGGCCGGCCCCAGGCGGTCTCGTGGCTCAGCTCTCAGTAGTCGCGTCACCTGGATCCCAAAAACTATGATGCCCAGTTCTTTCTAAGTAACCATGCGGACCAGATCCCAACAGCCATGTTGCCTAACTCTCATCAGCTATGATGCCCAACTTTTCCCAGAGCCGTGCTAACTGGTCTTTGGCAGTCGCTTTGACAACTCTCGGCAATCGCGCTACCCGACTATCAGCAGCCGTGTTGACCAGTTACAGGCATCCTCGCTACACACCTCTTGACAACAAGGTAATTAACTTTTCAGTTTGTTCACATTTGGGTAACTATCTTTTTTTTTTGTACAAATCTAGGCAACAAACTTGTTGGAGGTGTTCACATATGACCATTATGACCTGCTGTAGCAGGTTACATCCTAGATGTGAACACTTTTAACAAGTTCGTTACCTAGATGTGTAAAAAAAAAATAGTTACCCAAATATGAACAAAACGAAAAGTACGAGTAAATTACACGAATGGTCCCTGTGGTTTGGGGGAATTTGTGTTTTTGGTCTCTAACTTATTTTTTTTAACTCGGATGGTCCCTACTGTTTTGATTTTGTTGCGTGTTTGGTCCCTGTCTTACGTAAAAAGACTATTGTGCCCCTATTAGTTTATTTTTTAATTAATTTTCTTATTTCTTTATTTATTCTTTATATATTTAAACAAAATTAATAGACACCACATATCTGTATCTTCTTACCATCCCATCTCTCATCCTCCTTAACTTCTATTTATTTTTCATCTTTAGTGATATCGACGTCTTCACAATCCTTTTTTTTTTTCAGTCCTTCAACTCTGTCGAATCAACACCACAACCCACTAAAGATGAAGAGACAGTCTATTTTAAATAAGAAAATTAATTAAAAAATAAAGTAATAGGGGTACAATAGTCTTTTTCCGTAAGACAGGGACCAAATACGCAACAAAAATAAACAGTAGGGACCATCCGAGTTAAAAAAATAAGTTAGGGACCAAAAACACAAATTCCCCCAAACCACAGGGACCATTCGTGTAATTTACTCGACTTTTCGTTTTGTTCATATTTGGGTAACTATTTTTTTTGTACACATCTAGGTAACGAACTTGTTAAAAGTGTTCACATCTAGGATGTAACCTGCTACAACAGGTCATAATGTGAACACTTCCAACAAGTTTGTTACCTAGATGTGTACAAAAAAAAATAATTATCTATATGTGAACAAACCGAAAAGTTAATTACCTTAATAAGTCATATTTCCCCTGTCCCACCGTCTATACACCCGGTACACACAACAATATCAATGCAGCTGGGTCCACACGGCTTGAAAGCCTATAGAAAAAACAAAATGGGACACACTTGGTCAACTCTCAGCAGTCACCTAACTCACCTCTTCCGATTAAACCGGATGACGACGGCCTTCAGAATCACCTCACCTGCGTTGAAAAGCAGATCACCTTCGGTCGCTCTCAGCTTGTTGGCCGGCTCCTTGGATGAAGCAACCTCCGCCAGTGGCCACCGCCAACCAGATCGCCAGTAACTGCCAGCCGACAAGGGCAACATCTTCAAACAGCCCAGCGACAACGATGACCTTTCTCTACCAACGTTAAACCTCTTACAGCCAGTGGCCGCCTCCAACTGTAGACCTAACAAACAAACGTCTCCGGAAAAGTCTCAGCTTCAATCACCATAGTTGCCAAGTCTGCTCCTCCAATCGCCAACATCGCCCGCAGGCTTTCGCTTCTTGATTCCACGCCGGCGACCAGATAACAAGCGCAACCCAACACCACCGAGCCTCCAGCCACCACCTGATTCATTCTGTCCGAGGATCAACATCACCGGCAACCCTAGACCGTCGACGACGACCTCCAAGCTTCAACATATCGAAGATGACAACAGTATCTGCTCCGATCTCTGACCTCAATTCGTCAATGGGAATAAAAAACAACAGCATCACCGGCCATCCCTATCACCTCCTCCCCGATAGCAATCGTCGCCACGGGTCTCCGCCTGCTGTTCCGTCACCAGCCGATCTCCTCTAGTCGGCGATTAGCGAAGCATCCCCAAAAAATGGACGTCATCAGAAGTCATTGCTCCGATTTCCACTACACCATTGAATCCCGGTGAAGAACAAAAAGAGAAAAGAAGAAGAAGGGAAATCACCGCCGGCGACCACATGCACAACGCCTCTGACGAGCTCGCTGTTGCGATCTCCATTGAGTAACCACCGTGAACTCTTACCTTCCAGTCAATACCTGCGTTTCTTTTGGGCACCTTTTCATCAGCAAGAACGAGGGTAAGTGAAAACGAGGGCAACGGGACAGCAGGAATAAACAACGAACATAGTGGGACCATGTGGTATCGTTGCTTTGATACTCTTAGCTCACAATCAGGTTTATACACGAAAAATAAATGAAAGAAGAAGGTATCGCTACTTGGGCTCACAAGTTACAAATGGGCTGCAGTAATTAATTGATGATGTTTTATTTTATTGGGCTGGTTAAACACAAAAATAAACCAATTTTTGCAAGAATAAACTAGCCAATCGGCCGTTTAACCCTCAAGTATCGCGATTTCTTTCAAACAAGACACGCCTTCAGAATATACGTTGTGGTCCAGACTCACTCATCGTTTTCAATATATATATATATATATATATATATATATATATATATATATATATATATATATAAAAGCCTAGGTTATTCTATTCAAAGTAATTATTGTGTTATTGTATTCATAACTGTGGGTCAATCAATTTTACTTATTTTAAGAAAGTGATTAATATATATTATTGAATTAAAATAGATTTAATAAAGGAAAATTGCATATTTTAAGAGATCATAGATTCTATTAATTTTAAAAATCTGATTTTACGAATTATAACTATTTTAATTCGAACATTCTGACAGAATATGTTTATTTATTTAATTATTTACTCAAAAATAAAAATATTCTTGAACCATAAATTCTTGAACTTCTTGTAGAATAACAAATTCTTGAACAATCAATTGAAGAATAAAAACAAAAAATATATTATTTCTTATAGAATACGGTTAACAAATTCTTGGCCCACATTTATAAATACGATAACACAATACTTAGTTTAAACAAATGAACCTCTATATATATATATATATATATATATATATATATATATATATATATATATATATATATATATATATATATATATATATATTAGTAGTTGGGCCGACTATTTGCAAATGGACTTCTCCAATAATGGGCTACTTTCGCAAGATAATAATCAGCTACTTGATAATTCGCATGCTACAAATCTGCCTAGCAAAACCCGATTCTAGAAAATGCGTTCCAACCCACTCGAAAACAAAAATAAATAAATAAATAAAATAATAATAATAATAATAATAATAATAATAATTCTTGCAAGGCAAATTTTACTGATCAGATGTGCTGTAACCGTGTGTTGAGATCCCGACTAACAAAATCTGACTTTAGAAGATGAGTTGCAACCTGGATCACTTGAAATTTTCAAAAAAATGGAGAGAGAGAGAGAGAGAGAGAGAGAGAGAGAGAGAGAGAGAGAGAGAGAGAGAGAGAGAGAGAGAGACCCGAGAGAGAGAGAGAGAGAGAGAGAGAGAGAGAAGCCGGCCACCGCAACAATACTCAATGCGTTTAGAAAAACAAAATAGAAAAGGATATGGAATTGGGCTAGTCACTTCCAAATGGGCGTCATATATTCACTTGGGCACTTTTTCAAGTTAGCATTTATTGGGATACCTCAACAAGAAAATAACCCACTCTTACAAGACAAAAATAAGAGATTTAAGGCTCGCGTATCGCGAGCTCCGCTCAACACAGAATGTTTTCAGAAAATGCTTTGTGGTCCAACCGGCTCAGTGTTTTCTATATATAAAAAAAGGAGGGAGAAGAGTAGTACGTTGCTACTGCTACTCGCAAAAGCATTTCAAAATAACCCTCAGGAGCCGTATTGACCAACTTCAGGCAGTCTCACTGCTCGGTTCTCATCATTCATATTGACCGGCTCCCGTTAGTCTCGTTGCCTGACTCTCAGTAGTCGCGCAACTCAGCCCTCATCTGCGATGCAACCCATCTCAGCAGCCGCAATGCCCAGTCATCAACAGTTACATTGTCTAACTCCCAGCAGTAGCGGCAACCGCGCTACCCAGCTTTTGTCAGCACTTTTGTCGCCTAGCTTTTTCCAACAGCTGTATCGCCCAGTTTCTAACGGTTATACATCCATTGTTCCTATTCTCTCTCCCCCTTAAGTAAAGGGATGGGAGAAGAGTAGTGCATCACTACTACTACTGCTACTCATGAAGCATTTTGAAATAACCCCGACATAAAATCAATTACTTTATGGTTTAAAGAAAACATACTAACTCACAAATTTGATCCTGTTGTCTTTTCAGATAATCGCTCCAACGCTGCGATGCCTCAGAGTGCGCCAACAGCAAACTCGCGGAGCAAAGCTCGGTCTGTAAGACATGGGCAGAGGATGTGCAAACCTGTACAAACGGATGAGGTTCGAAAGTGCAAACAACAAGTCGGGATCATATATCCATTTATTCTTACTTCTCGCCTTTTCTAAAAAGGGGGGAGTAGAGGGGTTAGCATAACACTATGCAGAAGTGTTATTTCTATTACGAGTAAAGAGTCGGACTACATAATGAGCTGACGTTATATATGGTTGTGCATTCTTGGGAAGAGATTGGTATTATGAATGAAGGACAAGCTTCATAGCCCAGCACCAAACACCAACCATTTTGCCTGACTATCCGCTGCCGTGGTGGCCGGCCCCAGGCGGTCTCGTGGCTCAGCTCTCAGTAGTCGTGTCACCTGGATCCCAAAAACTATGATGCCCAGTTCTTTCTAAGTAACCATGCGGACCAGATCCCAACAACCTTGCCGCCTAACTCTCATCAGCTATGATGCCCAACTTTTCCCAGAGCCGTGCTAACTGTTCTTTGGCAGTCGCTTTGACAACTCTCGGCAATCGCGCTACCCGGCTATCAGCAGCCGTGTTGACCAGTTACAGGCATCCTCGCTACACACCTCTTGACAACAGCTCCACAGTCCAGCTCTCAATAGCCTCGCTGCATAGCTCTCGACAGTATCATTAGAAGACGAGGCACCAATTATCGCTACAATTAATGATACGGCAGAGCACCAGGTGCCATTGCACTTCAGCTGCTTCTGATAACCTGGGTCGGACACATAGATTTCCAGCCGCTACGCCCAATCAAGTAAGGTTCAACATCCTTTCCTTAAGCCGCCTGGCTTCTCAGCCCGACTCCATCCTAACGGCAAGCCCCGCCGGCAAAGTTCACTACATTTTCCTTGAGTTGTCTGGCATCTCAGCCCGACTCCATCCTAGTGGCAAGCTCCGCCGATAAAGTTCAGTACCTTTGCCTTGAGTCGTCTGGCTTCTTAGCCCGACTCCATCATAGCGGCAAGCTCCGCCTGCAAGGTTCAACATCCTTGCCTTGAGTCGCTTGGCTTCTCAGCCCGACTCCATTCTAGCGGCAAGCTCCGCGTGAAAAGTCCAGTACCTTTGCCTAGAGACGTCTGGCTCCCCAGACCGACTCCACTATAGCGGCATGCTCCGCCAACGAGGCTCAAAGGTTTGCAACCTTTGCCTATATGATTCTACGCAATGCTCTCCCACGTGATGTATCTGTGATTGTCGACAGCTAAGCCCAATCCATTCCATGCGATGCTCTCCTGCATTATGTATCTATGATCGTCGACAGCTAATCCCGATTCATTCCATGCGATGCTCTCCCGCATGATGTATCTACGATCGTTGGCAGCTAAGCCCGATCCATTCCACGCGATGCTCTCCCGCGTGACGTATCTACGATCGTTGGCAGCTAAGCCCGATCCATTCCACGCGATACTCTCCCATGTGATGGATCTATGATCGTTAGCAGCTAAAATCGATCCATTCTACGCGATGATCTCCCGCGTGATGTATCTACGATCGTTGGCAGCTAAGCTCGATGCATTCCACACGATGCTCTCCCGTGTGACATCTCCTTGATCGCTGGCTGCTAAGCCCGAACTATTCTTCTAAGCCGTGCAACATAAGTCATGTATTGTCGATCATCGTAAGTTGCGCATCATAAGTTTATGTCATGCTTAACACCACATTTGGTCTCTTCTCTTATAATCAACATGGTTTTCTTATGCTCAGACGATCAATAAGGCGTTTCCTACATTACATCTTGCTATAGCAAGGTTACTCTTTAAGAAGAACGCTATCGACAACAACATTGTCACTTATAGTCCATCAACATCTATGTTGTGTGGCTCTTGGCAACAGTCTGGTTGTCTATTATCATAGAAACAACTTCATTGTGTATTCTTATAACAACCTTTCCATATGCACCATAGTCTGATACGGCTACCTACGCTACCTATATCAGACTGGGGGGGATCCAACTAGGAATAACTCGAGCAAGAAACACCTTCAGAATGGTTATCAATGCTCATGAAAAACAAACTATAAAGATAATTATCGATGACATTCCCCCAAGACAATAGAAGTGAGTACCTCCATGATGGAGTGCTAGACATCTGAAGTGACGACAACGGTGTCGATAGGGTATCGTGAGCATTCCAGTCATGAGTTGAGGGACGGAGAGGGCATACCAGACTCATGCTGTGGGCTTAGAGGCAATCCAGACCTATGATGAGGACCATGTAAGGGTATTCCAGTCATATGTTGTAGGCGTAGAGATTGTGTTGGTTATGTCTCTGGTAGGAGCGCGTTCGGATTGGATGTATTGTTGAGATTCGGGGGAGTTGCACTCAGTTGTAACAAATCAGAGGATTATGGATGAGATGCAAGGATAGATCCTTGGATCTCAAGATATGAGTAGACCTGAGTTATGTTCTTAGAGGTATTCCAATCTAGGGTATTTCATCCTAAGGATGACCGGGCCCTATGATTTATTGGACCTGATATGTTTGGTATTCCAACCCGAGGGTTGACTTAGCCAAATATATGTGTGTGACACGAGGGTATTCCATCCTAGGGATGGCTGGAACCGTCATAGGCATGCATGGTATTCCAGCCCGAGGCTGATTGGGCCAGGTATGAGTGTTCGTACTTGTTAGCTGGTTGATTATGTATGATATTTTGGGAGCTGAAGGACGCTTTATCCTGTCAGCACAAAGGGTTCGCTTCAGGAAGAGGGAAAATTGGGCCCCCGATACATTGGGCCATTCAGGATCGTTGCCAGGGTTGGCGAGGTGGCATACAGGTTAGAGCTACCAGAGGAGCTCAGTCGCATCCACAACACCTTTAACGTTTCACAATTGCGGAAGTGCATTCTGGATCAGGAGGC